AACTGTATTGGAGGGGATCTAAACATTCCCTCTAATGCGTTATGCGTGGTTTCCTCCGAGGCTATGGGTCCCCCTTCTTCCAGCTAGAGGTGGTACTCCCTTCCATTATATTATATATATATATATATATATATATAATATATATATATATATATATATATGTCGTACCTAGTAGCCAGAACGCACTTCTCTGCCTACTATGCAAGGCCCGATTTGCCTAATAAGCCAAGTTTTCCTGAATTAATATATTTTCTCTAATTTTTTTCTTATGAAATGATAAAGCTACCCATTTCATTATGTATGAGGTCAATTTTTTTTTATTGGAGTTAAAATTAATGTAGATATATGACTAAACCTAACCAACCCTACCTAACCTAACCTATCTTTATAGGTTAGGTTAGGTAGCCGAAAAAGTTAGGTTAGGTTAGGTAGGTTAGGTAGTCGAAAAACAATTCATGAAAACTTGGCTTATTAGGCAAATTGGGCCTTGCATAGTAGGCTGAGAAGTGCGTTCTGGCTACTAGGTACGACATATATATATATAATATATAATAAATTATATATATACCTGGTTGATGGGGTTCTGATAGTTCTACTACTCCCCAAGCCCGGCCCGAGGCCAGGCTCGACTTGTGAGAGTTTGGTCCACCAGGCTGTTGCATGGAGCGGCCCGCAGGCCCACATACCCACCACAGCCCGGTTGGTCCGGCACTCCTTGGAGGAATAAATCTAGTTTCCTCTTGAAAATGTCCACTGTTGTTCCGGCAATATTTCTTATGCTTGCTGGGAGGACGTTGAATAACCGTGGACCTCTGATGTTTATAGTGTTCTCTGATTGTGCCTATGGCACCTCTGCTCTTTACTGGTTCTATTCTACATTTTCTTCCATGTCGTTCACTCCAGTACGTTGTTATTTTACTGTGTAGATTTGGTACTTGGCCCTCCAGTATCTTCCAGGTGTATATTATTTATATACAGTGTATATATTATATATATATAATAAATATATATATATAATAAATAAATTGTTGGTTCTTTATCTATAACTTTCCCATTTACAGAATCTTCATAATTGATTTTACAAAAATCTTCTCAAGTTGCCCCATTTAATTTTGGTTTGAATAGGAAGCATACTGGTAAAATGTGGGAGATTGCAGCCTCGGGTTGTCGACTCATCTAAGGGTGAACTGGCCACACAGGCGGCTGGCAAGGGCTTCAGCTCCTGGCCCATGTTGTACTGACCTTCCTCCTCGTAATTTTTAGAAAGCTTGAATAGACCCTACTAAATAAAGCGAGCAAAACATGATGATAGACTTTCAAAATAGATGAAAAATTGATAGATGCAGTTTAATGGTGAAAAAAGTAGTTGTAATCTTAGTCACCAGCTAATAATAATGGGAATTCTTCTTAAAACATTCAATCTCTGGACTGTAAACATTATAAAAACATTTCTCGTGAATCAACTTAATTATCAGTACTAAAATAGATTAAATGTGGGCCCTCTTTCCACTTCACGATAAAATGCATCTGGGGAACAGCCGATCAGATGCGTGAGGGGAAGAGGAGCCGGCAGATATTAATTTAACGTAAACAAAGTCTTGCTGGAGCAGAACAAGCTCCGTAATTATTCCCTTTTGATACAGTGCTCCGGGACCAAAAACATCCCGTCATCACCACGATCTTAGTCAACCATAAGGGAAGTGTTCTGGATCCAATACCCGTAATATCTAATTCATTCCTGGCCAGTAATGTAGGTAGACGAGGGAGACCGGTTAGAACACTAGGCGAGCCACCCAAACAGGGTAATTATTGATTCAATTTTATCTAATAAATTATTATATTTCCCCTGATATAACTGTCATATATAGGTTACGATTAAGTGCCCTTTGGCAGGTGTAATTGAAGTAGAAGAATTATTAACAACTAGCTGTACCCGGCCACGCGTTGGTGTGGCTCAACAACGCGTGTGCGTTGCTGAGCTACAGCAACCTTTCCAGTCCTCCCCACCATTCCCCCCTCCCCTGTCCCCTCATCCTCCCAATCATTCCTTACTCCCCCTTGTCTTCCCCACCATTCACACCTCCCCCCCCTTCTCTTTGTCCTCCCCACCATCCCCTTGTCCTTTTAACCGTTCCCCACTCCACCGTCCCATCACCCTCCCCACCATCTCCCACTCCCCCGTCCCCTCGTCCTCCCTGCGATTCCTCCCCTCCCCCGTCCTCCCCACCACCCCCACTCCCCTGTCCCCTTGTCCTCCCCACCATCCTCCACTCCCTCGTCTGATGCATTCCCAAATGATCTGATGTCCCCATCAGAAAATTGGGAACATCAAATGATCTGTGTTCCCATCACTGAAATATAAGAAAAAGTTGAAAACAAAATGAAAAACAATGAAAAAATAAAAAATACGAAATGAACGGTATAGTAAACAACACAGCTCAATTCCAATGCAATGTCACACAAAATAATTAAATAAAAATGAAAATAAATTGAAATCTATGAAAATTCAATTTATCAATGCAACTGGAAATATTGAAATGGAATCGTAACATATTTAGTATAGCGTGTGTTGCTATTACTTGCAACAGATGGCGCTGTGTTTTTAACTACTTTTTTACCTGTCACAGGTGTGGCATCAATATAGTAGGTACATAAAATCACGGGCGTATTTGAATGGAACGTTGTGTCAAAATTTCAAAGCAATCGGTGAAGAACTTTCAAAGATTACAACACGTGTAGCTCTTACGTCCAACACATGGCGCTGGTTTTAAAAAACATGTTTTTTCCTGTCACGAGTGAGGCATGTATATAATAGGTATATAAAAACACGCTCCTATTTGAATGCAACGTTGTATCAAAATTTCAAAGCAATCTGTAAAGAGATTTCGAAGATTTCCCTCATACGAAAAACACATGAAATACACAGTTAAAAAAAAGAAACATGTTTTTCCCGTCACAGACGTGACATCTATATAGCATGTATATAAAAACCCGCTCGGATGTGAGTGGAACGTTGTGTGAAAATTTTAAAGCAATCGGTGACGAACTTTCGCAGATTAGCGATTCTGAAGAAGCGAATATTTACATTTTATTTTATATAGATTACCTGGTATAACAAGTAACATGTATTGAGGCTGCCTCATCACGAGGAGTATGGGTTGGCGTGTTCGTCCGTGTTCATATCTGGGTGTACGGGCCAAAACTGCCATACAGGTAAGGTTTCCCCATTTTATTTACTAACTTATGTAATCTTAATATTTTAGTGAATGTCTACCAATCAATAATTTCGATTGATAGAATATATGTACAACATTAATAAACCCTCCCAGAATGTGTTGGAAACTATTTATGGGAATAAACCCATACAGTCTACTTTAAACATCATACACTCTGCTATCGAAATAAATTAACGTAAGAAATAAATTACTATAAAAATTAATATAAATTAATAAATAGCTAAATAAGTAAATCCCAGGAGTCAGTTTTCCTCACAGAGGGTGGTGCAGGGTTGCAGGCACACTTACCTGCCAGCACACACATCGTGCCAGCAAGGCGGACAGCCCGCCTCCTATCATACTATTCCTTCCATTTTAAAACTTTTCCTTTCTTCTGTGCCTCTCCATTCTCTTTACTCCCAGAAAGAAACATATGTGAGGGGTGAGGGCGGCGGGTGAGGGAGGTGGGTGATGGTGCTGCCATGACACTAGTGCAGGTCCCGAGGCATGATCAATGCCTCCTACCCACTGTGATCGTGCATGTGGCACCTGATTGGGTAAGGTTGTCCAGCATGTGACCACAGCCTCGGCAGGGTGATGGGCTGCGGCCTCGTGTCCTCCTCCGCTACAGTACCTCTACTCCAGCACCAGGACTACACCTTAGTTCCCGTTGCAGAGTACCGCACGCTGGCCAGCTGTACGTGTCCTTGTCATCAGTACTGGGGTGGTGGCACTCATTGCTCCATGAGTACTGGGGTGGTGGCACTCATTGCTCCATGAGTACTGGGGTGGTGGCACTCATTGCTCCATGAGTACTGGGGTGGTGGCACTCATTGCTCCATGAGTACTGGGGTGGTGGCACTCATTGCTCCATGAGTACTGGGGAGTTATGAGGAGAGTCGGACGCGGGAAACTTGTTAGGTTTAACGAGGTAATTGACTGACCTTCCCCAGAATGCAAGCCACAATAGATGTCTAGCTCGTAAATACTTATTTGCTGTCAGGTGAGTAAGGGAAAGGTGTTTACCTGCCTTGTTCCGCCAGGGAATCGAACACAAGATTTGTTGGTTGTGAATCGCAGCGCTAAATATTGGCGAAACTAAAGCTGCAGCTGTTGGAACCCGCCATTCAGGGAGGAGTTGGTTGTGTGTGTGTGTGTGTGTGTGTGTGTGTGTGTGTGTGTGTGTGTGTGTGTGTGTGTGTGTGTGTGTGTGTGTGTGTGTGTGTGTGTGTTGGGCGGGCGGGCGAGGTTAGAGGTGCCAGGCTGGTGTTGTGTGGCGGCGGGTGAGGTCGCTGGCTGCCCGGGTTCACGGTGACGGGTGTGGGCTGCCTAGTGTCGCTGCCCACACTAATGCCATGCCCCCACTGGCATCCCTGGCTCTCTGGCACTGCAGGGCACCTCAGTGCTGGCGGGAGTGTGTGTGTAGGTGCAGTTAAAGGGGTAATAGAGGCGGCGGGGTGTTGTGGTGGGTGGGAGCGTGTGGGGTGAGTGTGGTGGGAGGAGTGAGGGATGGTGAGGGAGGCACCCCAGGCCCACGCTCATTCCTGGCGGGGCCACCACACAGAGTGAACGCGCACAGTGTCCGGCACACAAGCGTTCATCGTACCTCGTCCAACGTGCCTCGTTCAGCGTGCCTCGTTCAGCGTGCCTCGTTCAGCGTACCTCGTCCAGCGTGCCTGGCCCAGCGTGCCTCGTCCAGCGTGCCTGGCCCAGCGTACCTCGTCCAGCGTGCCTGGCCCAGCGTGCCTCGTCCAGCGTGCCTGGCCCAGCGTGCCTGGCCCAGCGTGCCTCGTCCAGCGTGCCTCGTCCAGCGTGCCTGGCCCAGCGTGCCTCGTCCAGCGTGCCTGGTCCATCCGGCCCCAACCTTGCCACTGGTCATAAACTCCCTCGTGTGACTGCGAGTGTCTTGTTATCGTAGCGACGCGCGAGCCATAATACTCCAGAATTTAACAAGTGTTAGACTGAACAGTGTGTGTATAATTATGTGTTAACACAGGCGCCCTTCAAGGTCAGCCTGGAGAAGCTAACTGGAAGGTTGGCGGTTGTGAGAGAGGAGCCTATTGGCACACACACACACGCACGCACTCACGCATGCACGCACGCTGAGCGTCCATAGCTCGCAAGATCGCATTGTTTTAAACCCTTGAAATTAGGACTTTAGGACGAGTCGCTGATCTAATAAAATATTCTTAAAACATCAATTAAAAGTCTTGTGAACATTAGGACTAGACGCGGCGGATGAAGCCCCTGGGTGGAAGACTCCAGCGGGGAGTGTGAAGGAAGAGGTGAAGCCCCACCTGGTGTAGCAGCGGCTACAGCAGGTGACAGGTACAGTCTCCCTCTCCCGCCCCACTCCCACCACACCTCCACACCCCGCGAGACCTCTCTCAACCAAAACTCCACACCCCGCGAGACCTCTCTCAACCAAGCCTCCACACCCCGCGAAATCCCTCTCAACCATACCTCACGCTGCGAGACAACCTCACTCAACGAGACTGCATTCAACGATATCTTACTCCACGAAATCTCGCTCCAAGAGACGTCAGGCTGCAGCAGCACACTAGGTAGGACTTGGGTATCTTCCCAGGGCGCTGCTGCTCACCCTACACCACGACCGGACGACACACGCCCGACGACCACCAGTCAGCGTCATACTGCAGTGTTGCAGCCAACCGCTGTGTGCAGCCGCGACTGTGAATCTAGATTTAAATTGTCGATTAAGTGCACGAAATTAATTTTGAACATTGTGTAATTAGCGGACACTTCAGTGTTTATGTTACTTCCTGAAAAATTAAAAGCCAAAGGAAAAGTTAAAAAACAAGTGAATCAAAGTGGTGAGAATTTCGTACCCATACGGACCATCGCCCTGGATTACTATACACTTCGGACCAACACTTCAGACATACAATTCAAGGTAATTCGCTGTTTGTGTATACCTTAACTTGAGACACCTGTTAGCTGCTAAGAACACTAACTTTAGCAGCACTAACTTTGATGTTCTCTTACTGATCGTCATCGGTCTAGTTAGTTACTTCATTATTGGTATTTACCGCCATGATCTTGCACCCAGATGTTTACCTGTGTCTGCTGTACCCAGATGTTTCCCTGAGTCTGCTGTACCCAGATGTTTACCTGTGTCTGCTGTGCCCAGATGTTTACCTGTATCTGCTGCACCCAGATGTTTACCTGTGTCTGCTGTACCCAGATGTTTACCTGTGTCTGCTGTGCCCAGATGTTTACCTGTGTCTGCTGTGCCCAGATGTTTACCTGTGTCTGCTGTGCCCAGATGTTTACCTGTGTCTGCTGTACCCAGATGTTTACCTGTGTCTGCTGTACCCAGATGTTTACCTGTGTCTGCTGTACCCAGATGTTTACCTGTGTCTGCTGTACCCAGATGTTTACCTGTGTCTGCTGTACCTAGATGTTTACCTGTATCTGCTGTACCCAGATGTTTACCTGTGTCTGCTGTACCCAGATGTTTACCTGTGTCTGCTGTACCTAGATGTTTACCTGTGTCTGCTGTACCCAGATGTTTACCTGTGTCTGCTGTACCTAGATGTTTACCTGTGTCTGCTGTACCCAGATGTTTACCTGTGTCTGCTGTACCTAGATGTTTACCTGTGTCTGCTGTACCCAGATGTTTACCTGTGTCTGCTGTACCCAGATGTTTACCTGTGTCTGCTGTACCTAGATGTTTACCTGTGTCTGCTGTACCCAGATGTTTACCTGTGTCTGCTGTACCCAGATGTTTACCTGTGTCTGCTGTACCCAGATGTTTACCTGTGTCTGCTGTACCCAGATGTTTACCTGTGTCTGCTGTACCTAGATGTTTACCTGTGTCTGCTGTACCCAGATGTTTACCAGTATCTGCTGCATTCCTTGGTATTCTTGCACCACCAACAAGCCACCCAGGAACGTCTTGCTGGTAGTTGGAAACTACACTGATATATGGGCGCCTGAGGCCGGCCGGACCCGCGGGGTCACGCTCCACCAGACGGACGAAGGGAGCACGAAGAGTGTTGTGACACATCTGTGGTGTCCAGGTTGTGGCGGGTCGTAGTGTGTCAGTTGTTGCTGTAGATGTCCAGGTTGTGGCGGGTCGTAGTGTGTCAGTTGTTGCTGTAGGTGTCCAGGTTGTGGCGGGCCGTAGTGTGTCAGTTGTTGCTGTAGGTGTCCAGGTTGTGGCGGGTCGTAGTGTGTCAGTTGTTGCTGTAGATGTCCAGGTTGTGGCGGGTCGTAGTGTGTCAGTTGTTGCTGTAGGTGTCCAGGTTGTGGCGGGTCGTAGTGTGTCAGTTGTTGCTGTAGGTGTCCAGGTTGTGGCGGGTCGTAGTGTGTCAGTTGTTGCTGTAGGTGTCCAGGTTGTGGCGGGGTTTCAACCGGTGGTAAGATGTCCAAGCTGTCGTGTGGGGGCCCGGAATCGAAGGTTGTGGTGTCCAGTTAGTGGTGAGAGTGGAGGCTGGCGTCAGTGTGGTGTATTCACTTAGTTGTGCTTGCGGGGGTTGAGCTCTGCTCTTTCGGCCCGCCTCTCGACTGTCAATCAACTGTTTCTACTACTATTCCTCCCCCCCCCCCACACACCCTAGGAAGCAGCCCGTGACAGATGACTAACTCCCAGGTACCTATTTACTGCTAGGTAACAGGGGCATAGGGTAAAAGAAACTCTGCCCATCGTTTCTTGCCAGCCCCCAGGATCGAACCCGGGACCACGGGATCACGTGTAGAGTGTGCTGTCCGCTCGGCCGGCCGGCTCCCTGTATGTGTTGAGGAAGTGTGAGGGAACAATTAGTGTACCAAATACAATGAGTGTACACATTGTGGATCATGGGAAAACTCAGAGTATGATTCAATGTAATTATCATATGTAAACACGGGCTCACCATAGCCCGTGCTACTTGGAACTTTTTGTTCCAAGTACCGAATCTTAAACAGCAACAACATATCATATGTAAATATCGTCTCGGGTTTTCTTTACAGAGATTTTATGTCTCACGATTTAGGACATGAACCGTTTAGGCTTATCGAGGTCAGCGTAGCCAACAGGCGGCAATCGCCAAGATACAAGCCACAATAGTTGCCTAACTCCCGAATGCATATATACTGATACGAACGGAAGCGTCACGTGTAAGGAACGTACTCAAGTGTCTCGCCCTGCCTGAGAATCGACCTGTGGATCAATCAGTTGTGAGCTGATTGCGCTGTCCACTGCGCTACATGACACTTGTATATCTGCGGCGTGTGAGCAGCGAGGGTGGTGAAGAGGCGGCCAGGATGTTGAGACCCACCGTGGGAAGATGTGGCGGCCTGTACCCGCTGGTGGCGGCCTGTACCCGCTGGTGGCGGCCTGTACCCGCTGGGGACCACACTGGCGGCGGCCTGTACCCGCTGGGGACCACACTGGCGGCGGCCTGTACACGCTGGGGACCACACTGGCGGCGGCCTGTACACGCTGGGGACCACACTGGCGGCGGCCTGTACACGCTGGGGACCACACTGGCGGCGGCCTGTACACGCTGGGGACCACACTGGCGGCGGCCTGTACACGCTGGGGACCACACTGGCGGCGGCCTGTACACGCTGGGGACCACACTGGCGGCGGCCTGTACACGCTGGGGACCACACTGGCGGCGGCCTGTACACGCTGGGGACCACACTGGCGGCGGCCTGTACACGCTGGGGACCACACTGGCGGCGGCCTGTACACGCTGGGGACCACACTGGCGGCGGCCTGTACACGCTGGGGACCACACTGGCGGCGGCCTGTACACGCTGGGGACCACACTGGCGGCGGCCTGTACACGCTGGGGACCACACTGGCGGCGGCCTGTACACGCTGGGGACCACGCTGGGGACCACGCTGGGGACCACACTGGCGGCGGTAATGGTGGGCCGCCACTTTACTGGGCATCAGTGACGCTGCCCAGTAAACTCGTCCCTCGGGGCAAAATTTAAATTGAACTGCGGAATAGTGTGGTGTAGCTCTTTATGCCCCGCCTACCAGCCTTGTTGTTAAAGACTAGGTGACTATTATGAGCCTTATGGTCTATTCTGACTCTCAAATTTATTGTCGAATCTGTCCGTAAGGTTGTGGATGGAGGCGGCTTCTACAGATTAGAGTGCATTCCATGTGTTGGTCTACGAGTAATTCCTTACATTACTTCGAATTATTTGTGTTCCCAACTTCCACTTGTCTTATTGTCCTATTTTCTGCTTCTGTTTCTTGTATCGTCGATAGCTGTGAGGTCCAGTTGCTTCAGCCTATCGTCACAGCTTAGCTCTTTCCTCGGGAACTAATGTACTACTAGGTCGACTCCAGGGCTCGTGGGGCAGGGGTCGTTGGGCAAGGGTCGTTGCTCAAGGGTCGTGGGGCAGGGGTCGTGGGGCAGGGGTCGTGGGGCAGGGGTCGTGGGGCAGGGGTCGTGGGGCAAGGGTCGTGGGGCAGGGGTCGTGGGGCAGGGGTCGTGGGGCAGGGGTCGTGGGGCAAGGGTCGTGGGGGTAGTGTCGTGGGGCAGGGGTCGTGGGGCAGGGGTCGTGGGGCAGGGGTCGTGGGGCAGGGGTCGTGGCTCAGGGGTCGTGTGGCAAGGGTCGTGTGGCAGGGCCGGCAACTTGTGCATCAGGTTTAGCAAGAACGAGAGTTATTATGTAGTCATATATTCCTGTATTTCGTACATGTTAATGAATTCTAATTAGTGAGTCCAAGAGTGATGTACTCACCTAGTATATTATGTATGCTGGAGGTGTAGAGGGCCGGTGAGCGAGGCCTCAAGGACACTCCCCAGCAGGAACATGCTGGAGACGAAGGAACCAACACCTATATGGATAAGTAACCATATTCATAGGAAGTGAGAAGCGAGCCAAGATAAGAGAAGTTTGTTTAAAATATTTTCTTGGATAATGGGGCAACACTGAGGGGAAGATTGGCTTAAAAGGAGGAAGTAGGGACCCCACGGCGGCACCAGCGTCCACCCCACGGCGGCACCAGCGTCCACCCCACGGCGGCACCAGCGTCCACCCCACGGCGGCACCAGCGTCCACCCCACGGCGGCACCAGCGTCCACCCCACTGCGGCACCAGCGTCCACCCCACTGCGGCACCAGCGTCCACCCCACGGCGGCACCAGCGTCCACCCCACGGCGGCACCAGCGTCCACCCCACGGCGGCACCAGCGTCCACCCCACGGCGGCACCAGCGTCCACCCCACTGCGGCACCAGCGTCCACCCCACGGCGGCACCAGCGTCCACCCAAATATCCCTCACCCAACCATCCATGTACCAGACACAGGGAACAATATGTGCAGGTGAACATTCGTGGGCGTTGGGGGACATCTCTGTGAGGGAGCTGGATGCCACAATGGGGTTCTTGTAAGAAACCTCTGGGATATGATTATAGTCTCAGTGGGACTCTAATGTGGTATCATTAGCTTAACAACTTCCAAAATCATTGATAAAGTAATTATTAAGACTTGTTGAGTAACTATAAAACTCAGCATCTACCTCGCTTCCTCTATCGACACGGTAATTATTATTTATTAATATTATTTATTATAATTGGCATAGTTGTGCGGTAGTCTGCTGCGGGTAGACAGTATGATCAGTGTTGCGTCTTGGGGAGGCTGCCGGAAGCTGTTGCAAGCATCCTGACACCTGCATCCCGCATGGTAATGATGCACACTGGTGCTTCCTGCGGGTAGCTTATGCCGGCACACGGGGTGATGTATGGGCACACGGGGGTGGTGTATGGGCACACGGGGGTGGTGTATGGGCACACGGGGGTGGTGTATGGGCACACGGGGGTGGTGTATGGGCACACGGGGGTGGTGGTGTATGGGCACACGGGGGTGCTGTATGGGCACACGGGGGTGGTGTATGGGCACACGGGGGTGGTGTATGGGCACACGGGGGTGGTGTATGGGCACA